TCCTTCTTTTTTACAGCCACATAGTATTCCATTGTGTAAATGTATCACAGCTTTTTTATCCAGTCATCTACTGATGGGCACTTGGGCTGCTTCCAGATCTTGACTATTGTAAATAACACTGCTATGAACATAGGGATGCTTACATTCATTCGAATTGATGTTTTGAGGTTCTAAGGATATACTTCCAGAAGTGGAATCACTGGCTGAAAAGGAAGTTCCATTTTTAATTTTTTTAATTAAATCTTTATTGTTCAGATTATTACATTTGTTCCTCTTTTTTCCCACCATAACTCCCCTCCTCCCAGTTCCCGCCCCACCCTCCACCCTCACTCCCCACCCACTGTCCTCATCCATAGGTGCACGATTTTTGTCCAGTCTCTTCCTGCATCTCCCACACCCCTTTCCCCCCCAAGAATAGTCAGTCCATTCCCTTTCTATGTCCCTGATTCTATTATAATCACCAGTTCATTCTGTTCATCAGACTATTTATTCACTTGATTCTTAGATTCACTTGTTGATAGATGCATATTTGTTGTTCATAATTTGTATCTTTACCTTTTTCTTCCTCTTCCTCTTCTTAAAGGATACCTTTCAGCATTTCATATAATCCTGGTTTGGTGGTGATGAACTCCTTTAGCTTTTCCTTATCTGTGAAGCTCTTTATCTGACCTTCAATTCTGAATGATAGCTTTGCTGGATAAAGTAATCTTGGTTGTAGATTCTTGGCATTCATCACTTTGAATATTTCTTGCCACTCCCTTCTGGCCTGCATAGTTTCTGTTGAGAAATCAGCTGACAGTCATATGGGTATTCCCTTGTAGGTAACAGAGTTTCTTTCTCTTGCTGCTTTTAAGATTCTCTCTTTGTCTTTGCTCTTGGCATTTTAATTATGATGTCCTTGGTGTGGTCCTCTTTGGATTCCTTTTGTTTGGGGTTCTCCGCGCTTCTTGGACCTGTAAATCCATTTCTTTCACCAGGTGGGGGAAGTTTTCTGTCATTATTTCTTCAAATAGGTTTTCAATATCTTGCTCTCTCTCATCTTCTGGCACCCCTATAATTCTGATGTTGGTACGCTTGAAGCTGTCCCAGAGGCTCCTTACACTATCCTCACATTTTTGGATTCTTTTTTCATTTTGCTTTTCCGGTTGGGTGTTTTTTGCTTCCTCACATTTCAAATCATTGACTTGATTCTTGCGCTCCTCTGGTCTGCTGTCGGGAGTCTGTATAATATTCGTTATTTCAGTCCGTGTATGCTTAATTTCTAGTTGGTTCCCCATCATAATGTCGAGGGTCTCATTAGTTTTCTTGTAGATCTCATTAAGTTTATCGGCGGCTTCTAAACAGTTCTTGAGAGACCTTAAAAGTGTGGTTCTGAACTCTATATCTTCCATTGACAATTTTGTCCTGTTTCTTTGTCTCCGCATTTTGTTATGCTTTCTTGGTGCACCCCCTAGTGGTCTTTGTGCGCAGTCTTGTAGTTAAGCCTTGATTGTTGTAGCTAATACCAGAAAGGGTTTGACCTCCAGGCCAAATGGCTGTGAGAATCAGCTGTGTCTGCAGTGAGAGAACTTCTATCCTCTAGGGAGGTGCTAATCTAGTATTTGCCTGAGGCTATCCGGCAAATGCCTCTGTGCAGGGCTTGGGCGGGGCGGGGCGGGTCGAACAGGATCAACAGGGTGGGCCAGAGAGAGCAGTTATGGCGGCTCTCAGTCCTGTCCCCAGGGGCTCTGCCTCTCTGAGTCCCAGCAACTGCTGCAAACCTCGGAGAGAAAGCTGCACTCGCTCTGACCGAAGCCAGACAGTTTGAGTCTGGGTCCCTAAAGACTCGCCCGTATCTGGAGCTCAGATTCTGCGACTCCCTCCTGATTGAAAACGCCAACCGCGCCCTCCGCCTCCAGCCCACTTCGTGCACTCCGCACCTCAGAATTTGACTTCAGCACTGCGCCTCCTCTGAGTGTCCGTATGCATTTCTCTTTCCTCCTAGTTGTAGGACTTCCACTCAGCCAGCGTTCCTGTGGTTCTGGGTGATGTCCGTTCTGTCTTTTAGTTTCACTTTTGAAGTAGTTGTTCAAGGCAGCAAACTCCGGCGTTAACCTATGCCGCCATCTTGGTTCTCTCCCATTTTTAATTTTTTGAAGTAACACCATATTCCTTTCCACAGTAACACCATATTCCTTTCCACAGTTAACACCATATTCCTTTCCACAGTAACACCATATTCCCTTCCACAGTTAACACCATATTCCTTTCCACTAGGCTGCATTCCCACCAACACGAGGGTTCCCTTTTCTCCACATCCTCACTAGCACTTGTTTGTGGATTTATTGATGGTAGCCATTCTGACAGGTGTAATGTGATACCTCATTGTGATTTTAATTTGCATTCCTCTGATGATTCATGACATTGAGCATCTTTTCTTATGTCTATTGGCCATCTGTATGTCCCCTTTGGAGAACTGTCTATTCAGGTCTCCTTGGCCCATTTTTTAATTGGATTGTTTTTATAGTATTGTGTTTTATAGGTTCTTTATAAATTTTGGATATTAACCCCTTATCAAATATATCACTGGTAAATATGTTCTCCCATACAGTGGGTTGTGTTTTCATTTTATTGATGGTTTCCTTTGTTGTGCAAAAGCTTTTCAGTTTGATGTAGTCCCATTTGTTTATTTTGTTTCCATTGCCCATGGCGATATATCAGAAAAAAAACATACTGCTATGAGATATGCCCAAGAGTTTACTGCATCCCAGAAACAGCCTGAAATACCTGAAAAAGAGCAAGGCTGCCACCAACTGGTGGGCCCTGTTCATTCCTGCTCTACTGTCCAGTTAAGTATAACCGACTTTTGTATTTTTAGTGCTTACACTTCGGAAATTTCATGTCTTTAGAAACAAAAGCTCAAATCTACAACCATATTTTAAGCATTTCAACTGGCTGCCTGTTACTATTCTCCACCAAATAGATAGGTGTTGCAGCTAATTGGGAGCCCACTTCTGGTGTTTTTAGAGGGTTTTGGTGACTGTCCAACACCTAGTAACCATTAGATGAGTCGAGCGAGGTCAGAAATTCAACTCAAAGTGGCTTACATCCAAAATTTGAGTTTATTTGCTTCTGCAACTAGGAAGTCAGCTCTGGAACTGGTCTCAAAGACTCCCAGCACTCAAGTAATGTGCAGTAGGGCAAGGGGAGTCATAAAGCCAGATTCACTTTGTTTGTTTTTTAATCCTCACCCAAAGACATTTTCCCACTGATTTTTAGAGAGACCGGTAAAGAAAAGGAAAGACAGAGAGAAATACTGATATGAGAGAAACACATTGATAGGTTGCCTCTTGCATGCACCCGGGCAGGGGAGGAGCCTGCAACCAAGGTATGTGCCCTTGACCTGAATCAAACCCAGGACCCTTTTGTCCACAGGTCAATGCTCTATCCACGAGCCAAACTGGCTAGGCTCATTTTGTTGTTCCCTTTCTCTCACACTCAGCACTCTTACCGAGTCAGAGGTAGCCTTTCCCCAGGAAAGGATCAAGAATGTTACAGGAGGACTGCAAAGAGAAAGAAGCAATTGGTGTTGATATTTTCAATGCCTAAATATGTTTGAAAATCTCATAATAGAGATTGTGAAAGGCAGATCTTTGGATTTGCAAAAGCAGAGAATTTTTGAGAGAAGAAATGCTTTTGAGAACCCGAAGAGCTAATCCCTGAAGGAGCCAGGGGATAGGGGCTGCGCCTGAACAGTATGGAGGAGAGGAATAGTTGGCCCGGCCCTGCAGTCTGTCAGGATTGTCAGGAAAGTCCAGAAGTGGAGGTGGGGAGGTCGGGGGGAGGCTTGGATGGACTGTGATCTGGAAGAAGGTTGGTGACCCCACAAGGGGAGAAGAGCACCAGGAGGGACTTTCCAGAGATGAAATGGGGTTGGCTTTGGGATACTGCCCAGGCTTCTGCTCCAGCAGGATTTGAGACCTGGACTGAATCTCCCACTGAAAAGAAAATGCCTCTGTTTTAAACAATCTTCATAGAAGCATTGATTTCCTGGAATAAAGTAAAAGATATTCAAGACAAAAGGTACAAGAGGAACATAGAGGGATAAGTGCACAGAAGCTGCTCTTAGCAAACAAGTGAATGTGAACTTTGAGTTTTAAGGGACTTGCCAGTTTCAGGGTACAAGAGACAAAGCCCATAAAATAGGAGCCATCACCCTATAAAGCTGGGGCCCCTAAAGAGCTATACTCCTTCTAGGACCAGCTATATCATGTGTGGGCCCCAGGATAAAAGGAAAATGGGGGGTTCCTTGCTCAAAATTATGAAGAATTTGCCCTAACCAGTTTGGCTCAGTGGATAGAGTGTCGGCCTGCTGACTCAAGAGTCCCAGGTTCGATTCCAGTCAAGGGCATGTACCTTGGTTGCGGGCACATACCCAGTTGGGAGTGTGCAGGAGGCAGCTAATCAATGTTTCTCTCTTTTCAATATTTCTAACTCTCTATCCCTCTCCCTTCCTCTCTATTAAAACATGAATAAAATATATTTTTAAAAAATTACGAAGAAAAAATAATTATGAAGAATTTCAAGATGGCGACAGCAGAGCAATAAACCAAGTAAGGGCTCTTCTGAGCTCATTGCCCAGGGCAGCTCCTTGTGAAAGGGCAGCCTAGATGCAAGCCTGACTCCCACAGCTCCAGCAGGCTACCTTGAAAACATCCACAACCCAGCCTTCATGAGGGTTTGCAACTGAAATTCCGACCATCTGGGTGAACCCGATTTACCTGCAGCCAGCAGTTTGGTATAAAGGAAACCTGGGTTGGTGGTGCCACAAAGAACCAGTCTGAAGTAAAGACAAGTTCTCTCTGGTGGAATCCAGCTCCAGTCCAAGGGCCAAATCAACCCCCTGCTTAAAGTTCCAGATTAAAACAGTTCATGCCGGTGGTCTTAATCCCACATCTAGAAGGTTCAGGAATCTGGAGAAGCGCTGTGTGTAAATTAATCAAGAGTCCAGAGAGGAAACATAATTTTGAAGGGCATTTGGGGGCCAGAGGAGCTTGGCTAGAGAAACCAAGTTCTCCTGGTCTCAGGACCCCTTACTGTTTATTCACACAAATTGTCCTAAGGCAAGGTAGACATACACATCAAAGGCCAGGGCTGCCATACAGAATCCATTGTCAGATGTTCAGGTGTTTGGCCAGCAGGAGGCAAGAACATGTAGATTGAAATGCCCTCAGCCGTCTGGCAGCAAGCAATCATCTTATGCATCCTTTTCAGGTTTGGGGAAATGCCCTGGGCCATGTCCAGATAATTCAGCCCTGCCAACAGGCTGGTTCCGGCAAGTTCACAGTCACAACCGTGAAATACATAGGAAAGCAAGTCACTATGTGCAAGAACCAACAGAAATGACAGTATTAAAGACATACGAAGACTTCTATTATTAGCTTTATCCCACACAGCCTATTAAAAAGCAATGCAATGTATTTTTTAAAATGAAGGTCCTGGCGTCTGTCTACAGATCACGCCGGACTCCCGGAAGCGAGTCGCGGCCACCAGAGACCCCACGGGACCCCATCGCCACCAAAGAAGGGCGGGGGGGGGGGCGGGACGAGAGAGGGGGGCGGGGCTATCTGGTCGACTCCCAAAGCCGGTTAAGAATGTGCCGCGGACAGGCGGCAGCAAGAGGAGAGGGCCGGGCCGTCCACGGCCTCCCTCAACACTTGGCACGCGCGGGCAACGGCCCGGTCAAACGTGCTTCCGAATCGGGACTTTGAAAAAATTACGCGGGGCTCCTATGACCACGGGCCGCTCGCAGAACTCACTGCCCTCCCAGAATCCGCATCGGGACTGGGGGAAAACGACGAAGAACCGCGCCCGAAGGCCGGTACCTAAGCCGGCGCCGGTACCGACCCGCCACGCCCTTCGCCGTCCTCCACGCACGACCCCTACGTGCCCACCTAGGGAAGTCCGCGACTCAGCAAACGGCGGGAAAGTCGAGTCCGGTGACCGGGCACATTGGGGCGCACGCCCGCCCGCGTAGACCTGGCGCGCGCGCCGCCTCCGGATCGGGACTTTGAAAAATGTCACGAAGGCGCCTCTGACGACCGGACCCCAGGAGGGGAAGCAAACCTGCCGCAAGGGTGGGTCACGGGTGGGTCGGCAACTCCCACTGGCACACCTGGCGCCAAAATAAAAAAAAGCGGAGGTGGGGGAGGGCTGCCGGTCAAGGCACCAGGTCCCAGCCGCGGGCAGGACGGCGTCCCGGCGCAAGCCACCCTCTCCGGCTACGCCCGCGGCGGCGGCCCCGGTCGGTCCCCGCGGAGGGGCAACAGAGTGCTGGTCGACCGGTCACAGCGGCGGCGCCCCGCCCCTCACAGCGCCCCGCCCTTCAAAGCGCACCGCCCCTCACAAGGCACCTTCCCGGCAGCGCCCCGCCCGTCACAGCTCCCCGCCCCTCACAGCTCCCCGCCCCTCACAGCTCCCCGCCCCTCACAACTCCCCGCCCCTCACAGCGCCCGCCCTCAGCGCCCCGCCCCTCACAGCTCCCCGCCCCTCACAACTCCCCGCCCTTCACAGCGCCCCGCCCCTCACAGCGCCCCGCCCCTCACAGCGCCCCGCCCGTCAGCGCCCCGCCCCTCACAGCTCCCCGCCCCTCACAACTCACCGCCCCTCACAGCGCCCCGCCCCTCACAGCGCACCTTCCCGGCAGCGCCCCGCCCCTCACAGCGCCCCGCCCCTCACAGCGCACCTTCCCGGCAGCGCCCCGCCCCTCACAGCGCCCCGCCCCTCACAGCTCCCCGCCCCTCACAGCGCCCCGCCCCTCAGCGCCCCGCCCCTCACAGCGCCCCGCCCCTCACAGCTCCCCGCCCCTCACAACTCCCCGCCCCTCACAGCGCCCCGCCCCTCACAGCGCACCTTCCCGGCAGCGCCCCGCCCCTCACAGCGCCCCGCCCCTCACAGCGCACCTTCCCGGCAGCGCCCCGCCCCTCACAGCGCCCCGCCCCTCACAGCGCACCTTCCCGGCAGCGCCCCGCCCCTCACAACGCACCGTCCCTCCCAGCGCGGTGGTAGCAACTCCTTCCCTCTCCGGAGATCGGGCCAGGTACCGACGGACCCGAAGGACCCGCGCGCCGGCAGGATCCCTACAGCGAATAGCTGATTTTTTCTGACTTTTTAATTTTAGCCATTCTGGGAGTGTGCAGTGAAAGCAGATTATGACCTAACTTGAATTTGCGCTCTGACTAAAAATGTTGGACAATTTTCGCAAATATATTGGCCATGTAAATATCGTTAACAAGATGGACTGGTCTAATTGTTAATGACTGAATGGTACTCTAGTAATGTGCCAGCATCTTTTTTTATTTTTTTACTGTTCAAATTTTTTTTTTAATTGCTTAAAGTATTACAAAGAGTATTACATATGTCTCCTTTTTTTTTTCCCTGCCCTTGACAATCCCCTGGCCTCCCCTACCCCCCAGTGTCTTATGTCCATTGGTTATGCTTATATGCATGCGTACAAGTCCTTTGGTTGATCTCTTACCCACCCCCCTCCTGCCTTCCCACCCTCCCTGGCCTTCCTGCTGTAGTTTGACAGTCTGTTCGAGGCAGCTCTGCCTCTGTATCTATTTTTGTTCATAAGTTTATAATGGTCTCTATTATCCATGAATGAGTGAGATCATGTGGTATTTTTCCTTCATTGACTGGCTTATTTCACTTAGCATAATGCTCTCCAGTTCCATCCATGCTTTTGCAAATGGTAAGAGTTTCTTCTTTTTTATAGCAGCATAGTATTCCATCGTGTAGATGTACCACGGTTTTCTAATCCATTCATCTACTGATGGGCACTTTGGCTGTTTCCAGATCTTAGCTATGGTGAATTGTGCTGCTATGAACATAGGGGTGCATATATCCTTTCTGATTGGTGTTTCTGGTTTCCTGGGATATATTCCTAGAAATGGGATTACAGGGTCAAATGGGAGTTCCATTTGTAGTTTTTTGAGGAAACTCCATACTGTCTTCCATAGTGGCTGCACCAGTCTGCATTCCCACCAGCAATGCACAAGTGTTCCTTTTTCTCCACATCCTCTACAGCACTTGTCGTTTGTTGATTTGTTAATGATAGCCAGTCTGACAGGTGTGAGATGGTACCTCATTGTTGTTTTGATTTGCATCTCTCAGATGATTAGTGACTTTGAGCATGTTTTCATATGTCTCTTGGCTTTCTGAATGTCCTCTTTTGAAAGGTGTCTATTTAGATCCTTTGCCCAATTTTTGATTGGATTGTTTATCTTCCTTTTGTTAAGTTGTATGAATTCCCTATAAATTTTGGAGATTAGGCCCTTATCAGATATGACATTGGCAAATATGTTTTCCCATGCAGTGGGCTTTCTTGTTGTCTTGTTGATGGTTTCTTTTGCTGTGCAGAAGCCTTTTATTTTGATGTAGTCCCATTTGTTTATTTTCACTTTAGTTTCCAATGCCCTAGGAGCTGTATCGGTGAAGAAGCCAGCATCTTTTAACTATTAGGATCCTTTTGTTATGAATGGGTGTGTGGTCAAAGATCTTTATTATAATAGAAAATACTTGATCTTTGCCCCTGGTTCCTGACACAGAGCTCCTAAATCTCTTGGGATCGCCTGAGTGACAAGAGTGTCTTTGGGATGCTAATGAGATGGCTCTTGGCTGAGGGTCCTGGGTAGCTTCAGGCTGGGACTGGCCGCCAGAAAGACCAAGCTTGATCAGAGGGCTGGAACTTTCAGCCTCTCTGCCCAAACCCTGGGGAGAGCGGCTGGCATTGATTCAATGATTTAATCAATCAGATCTACAAAGTGAAAGTTCCATCAAAAGCCCTTAACAATGGGGTTCAGGGTGCTGCTGAACGAGTGAACACATTCACACGCTGGAGGAAGGGGTGACACATTCCAGCTCCATGTGACAGAGGCTCCTGCACTGGGGACCCTTCCCCACCTGGCCCGGGTACCTCTTCCTCTTGCTGCTCATTTGTACTCGTTATAATAAACTGAACAGTAAGCACAGCATTTTCCAGAGTTCTAGGAGTGAATGAACTTGATGGAGAACCCCTAACCTTTGTAGAAGAGTCAGATGGAAGGACAGGTAACAGGGGGCTTGAACCTCAAACCTTTATCAGAAGTGAGGGCAGTCTCATGGGACAGAGCCCTGAGAATGTGGGGTCTGATGCAAACTCTGGGTAGTTCTCCTCAGGATTGAGGTGAATTGTCGGAAACAGTTGGTGTCCCAGAATGCGAGAACTCAGTGAAGGCAATCTCTCACCATCCCACAAAGAAATTCAGAGTCAGAGCAAGCAGGTAGCCCTCTGGAAGGGATGTCATCTATTGGCACTTGTTCTTCCAGCCAAACCTAAGTGCCTACGACGTCCCGACCTTCCAGTCTTAGAGCTTTGCTCCAAGTTTGAAAATTTTCATCCTTATCTGTCCCTCCCCCCAGCACCTGAATTCTCTTCCTACATGAGGAGAATTCGACACATAAAGAGACTTGGTGGGAAACAGAGACCATGTCCTTCCATAAAAGAGGGAAACCCACATCACCCAACATTCGTGCGTCTGGATATGGCACGAGGCTCCACCTGTTCTGACTCGGGACGTGGTGACGCAGAGGCTGGGACTGTGCAGGCTGCATTTGGCAAGGGTGCCAGGAGTGGCAGTAACAGTGTCAGGTGCCAGGAGCAGCAGAGGTGGCAGTCCTAGCACAGGGCCCAGGGTCCAGCTTCAGGGGTCAGTGGTGTGAGCAGTGGCATCGGTGCCCAGCAGCAGGGCAGTGGCTCCTGTGTGGGGCCCGACCTGGGCTGAATGTGGATCAGTTTCTGGCTTTGTGACCTCAAGTCTGTGGTTTTCCCTAAAATACTATTAGAGTCCAATATCAAAATACTATTAGAGTCATAAATGACATTTAAATGTCATTTATGTCTCACCGCCCAAGTGTGCTTCTCCTTCTGACATCTCTCCTGATCCCCAGAATTGTCTGTCCAACTGCCAATCCAATGAATAGGCGAAGCCCTCGCTGCCCATGGTCCTGGAGATGTTCTTTATTAGGACGATTTACAAGGACTGGTGATGTTTGAGTCCCTGTGATGGCAGGTCCTGGTCTGACAAGGTTCTACTGAAGAGTCTGGGATAGAGCCAGACTCTCACACTCTGCTTCAGACATCGGAGCCAACAAGAGGTCCAGGTGGTTCCTGACCACATGATGCACTGGGCACAGCCCTGACACACTCTCTCTCTCTCTCTCTCTCTCTCTCTCTCTATATATATATATATATATATATGCTACTTTATGTCTAAATTAGAATAGTTTGGGATTCCATTGTTTGCTCCAAGAACTGTATCTGGGGAAGAGTTTCAGAGAACAAGCCTTCAGAGATGTTATTATGGAAACCCATGCCCTAAATCTTCCACCTGACTCTACCCCATGGCAGAGAGAACGACACGTAACTCCCAACAATTATAGCTCATATCTGGTGATAAATGTCCTCCCTTCTCTTTCTGAGGAAAAATGAAACCTTTAAATGTTGATGTAAAACCCCTCCCCACCCTGAGCTCTGGCACTGGCCTCAGTGGTTCCCAGGCTGGCTGAGCCCCAGTATTGGTTGTGAGCTTCTTACAAAACCCCAGCCTCTCCCAGACCCACAGACCCAGAGAATAGGCACAGACAGGAACCACCTGTGTAACACCCTGCAGGCGAGGCTGACACACAGACACGGGGATCCTGGTCTGGGTTCTCGCTGCTCAATGTGGGATCTGAAGACCAGCAGCATCAGCACCTTGGGACAGAGCCAGCCTCTCACACTCTGCTCCAGGCGTCCTGAGCCAACAAGAGGTCCAGGGGGTTCCTGCGCACAGGAACGCTGGGGGCTCTGTGGTCCCTGTGCCTTCTAGACCCGGAGACAGAACTGCACAGCTGGTTCTGGTGTGTAGTCTGAACAGATGGCTCAGCACTGGGTCCTGGGTCCAGTCCTTCCTTGGTCTTCTGTTGCCATCAGTCCCTTGGTGACCTCGTCCGTCCTCAAGGCTTTAAATGTCATTTATGTCTCACCTCCCAAGTCTGTTTCTCCTTCTGACATCTCTCCTGATCCCCAGAATTGTCTGTCCAACTGCCAATCCAATGAATAGGCGAAGCCCTCGCTGCCCATGGTCCTGGAGATGTTCTTTATTAGGACGATTTACAAGGACTGGTGATGTTTGAATCCCTGTGAAGGCAGGTCCTGGTCTGACAAGTTTCTACTGAAGAGAGGACAAAGGAGCAGAGAGGTGTCTCAGCCGAAGAGTAACCAAAGCCAGGATGCACTGGGCACAGCCCTGACCACACCTGCGTCTCACAGCCAATCCTGTCCCCACATGTAACAGACTCAGCACCAAACGCACGGGATCTGACAAGTACTCGGTGCTCACAAATTTTAGGATCTTCTTTAATTTTTTTAAAACATGTTTTTATTGATTTTCAGAGAAAGGAAGGGATAGGGAGAGACAGATAGAAACATCAATGATTAAGGAGAATCATCCATCACCTGCCTCTTGCACACCCACTACTCGGAACCAAGTTGAAACCCAGGCATATGCCCTAATAGGGAATCCAATCATGACCTCTTGGTTCATGGTTGGATGCTCAACCAGTGGGCAACACCAGCCAGGTTTTTCTCCGTTGATGAACCGATCAGCCCTTCATGGCAAAAAGTGGGGGGAAAAAACTCATATACATTCTTATTTCAATCAAGAAGTGAGAAGTTGCAGCCCAGCACACCAGGAAGTAAAGACAGGGATGGGGAGGGCCCAGCCTGCCTCTGCTCTAACGGGGAAGTGGTGGGCAGGAGTGGACCAACCTCCCACCTCCTCACATTATGCTAATAGGAACACACACATGAAGATGCTTTTTGAGGAAAAAAATAAGATTTTCTCGAGTCACAAAGTGAAAGCGTGAATAAATCTCCCATCACTCAGTCCCCGACAATGAACTTGCCGAATGCTGTGGAAGAAAATGATCATGAAATATTCAGCTCTGTGGCTGTAGTGGTGATATTCTCAACAACCCATGCAGGCTCACTATGTCCCAAAGAATCCCCATCACCCAGACCTGTCCTCTTTGTCCCAACCCCTCTTTATATCAGGGGTTATAAGCCATGAGAGATTCATTAGAGCCCTGGGCAGCATCGCTGTCTGAGGTAGAACAAAACAGGACAGGGTCTGAGCCCCCCAGGAGAGGGGACCAAAGGAGGAACTATGGGGGTGAGGTCCCCCTGGGCTCCCCTATGCACTGTTACATGGTCTCAGGGGTCACCCTTCCATACTCACTGGCAGCGTGAGCGTAGCTCCCTCCTTTTCCACCTGTGGGAAGAAAACTTCCTGTGAGAAGACAGGGAGGAGGCAGGGTCATGAGGTCCTAAATGAACTCTTAGTCCTGGAGCTCAGAGAAGTTTCCAGAACTGTGACTACAGACCCAGTGCAGGATCAGGAAACCTGAGGAAACTACACGTGTGGGGACTGGACCAACTATCCTCCTGGAGGTCTGTCCTCAGCAGGGACCTTCCTCCCTGACCTGGGAGTGCTGGGAACCAGGCCCCATCACTAGAATCATCAGGTGATGAATCTGTCCCTCATTTCCACACGTGTCTTACTAAAGAGTGAGTGTCAGCAAATAGGGCCCCACACTGGGCAACCACAGGTGTGGGGATGGTACTTGCCCTTAATGAAACAGAACACACTTGACCTGGGCTTGCAACCCCCAGTGAGACAAGAAACTCAGGCCCCACCCCTTCCCTACCTGAGCGCTTCCTCCTCCACATCACAGCTACAGCGAGCACAACTCCAGTGAGCACAGCTCCAAAGTTGACCAGGCCCAAAATGAGGGCCACAAGGGGGATGGTGGCCCGAGGAGGCGGCTCTGGAAGGGAAGGGGAGGTGAGGGCCCTGACCCCCAGGCCTCAGCCCCGACCCCACTGAAGTCCTCCACAGGCCCCTGCTTCCCTGAGAAGAGGCTCTGTGCCCACGCCCCTCCTCACCCCATCTCAGGGTCAGGGGCTCGGGCAGCCCCTCGTGCTGCACATGGCACGTGTATCTCTGCTCCTCTCCAGGGGGCACCACCAGGGCCGCCCACTTCTGGAAAGTCCCATCCCCCGCAGGCCTGGTCTCCACCAGCTCCATGTCCTGGGTCTGCTCCTCCCCATCACGCTGCCAGCTCAGGCTGATGTCCGCAGGGTAGAAGCCCAGGGCCCAGCACCTCAGGGTGACCTCATGGTCAGAGATGGGGTGGTGGGCCACGTGTGTCTTTGGAGGGTCTGAGGAGAAAGGTGAGGAAATTCAGGGACTTGGCACTGTCACGGGAACCCTGCAGCAGCCCTCACGTGACCACCTGAGCGTGGACAGGGCACCTGGGGAGGGCGAGGGAGCACACAAGCACCACCAGCCTGGACAGAGCACCTGGGGATGACCTCTCCTCCTTAGAAAGTTCTAGTCAGAGTGACACAGCCCAGGGCAGGAGGCAGGTCTCAGGGGGAGAAAGGGATTTCTGGTCCTGGCCTGGGTGGAGGCCAAAGGACTCAGAAGAGTGGGTGTCAGACCTCAGATACACTGGGTGAGGGGCAGGGAGCAGGGCCTGAGAGAGCAAGTCCCCCATGGGTCCCAGAGCCACTGCAGGGTCAGTGGGAACCGCTGCTCAGTTCCTTCAGGCTTGGTCTCCCCTCTAATTGTCCCTGAGAGACTGCACCCCTAGGTGTCCCTGAGAGAAGGGAGGGCGTCACTGGATTCGAAAAGCCAGGCGGACTCAGTCTCCTGGCCCACAGGAGGGGGGTCTGACACTGATCCTGTGTCCTGTCTCCTTGTTGAGGCCCAGTCGCTGGTCTCAGTCCTGCCCATTGAAGGGGACACAGGCGTAGAAGCCACCATCTTCCACAGCCTCTCGGCTGATGATCAGAGAACCATCAGGCTACTGCTGGTGTCTGGGGAACCAACCAGCGTCAGGGGGATCTCCACCCATGCAGATGGAGATTGGTGGGGGGGGTGGGGGGGAGGGTCTTTTCCAGATGAGAGTGGGTCTGACAGGGCCCTTGGGCAACCAGCTGTCAGCAGGCTCATTTACTTGAAGGTGAGGGAGGCCCCAGGCCCCTGGTACCTGCGCGCTGCAGCGCCTCCTTCCCCATCGCCAGGACTCTGTGCAGCCACTCTATGCACTCCTCCTGCAGGTAGTGTCGCCTTTCCTCAGTCACATCTTCTGCCTCCCACTTGCGCCGGGTGATCTGAGCTGCGGTGTTGGCCGCGGTCCAGGAGCGCAGGTCCTCGTTCAGGGCGATGTAGTCGGTGCCATCGTAAGCGTACTGGTGGTACCCGCGGAGGAGGCGGCCGTCCGGTCCCATGTCACAGCCAAACAGCAACTGGAGTGTGTGAGACCCTGACCCGTCCCGAGGTCAGTCCCGTACCCTGAGTCCCCCCAACCCTCGCCCTTCCCGCTACCAGGAATTGAATCCAAACTGAAAGTAAAACCGGGTCAAATCCCCACGGGCTCCTCCCGGGTGGGAGCAGCGCAGGGCCCGCAGCCTCGGGGTGAAACTCGCACCCGGACACTCGGGGCGACCCCGGCCTGTCCGTGGGGATGGGGGCCGGCCCCCGTGGCTCACCGTCCTCGCTGTGGTTGTAGTAGTCGCGCAGGGTGTGCAGGTTCCTTCGGAACGTTTGTGCTGAGTCCCTGGCGTTCAGCCTGCTCAGGTCCCAATAGCCCGGCTCCACCTGCTCCATCCATGGCGCCCGCGGCTCCGCCCTCTGTCTCTCGGAGTCGCTGTCGAACCGCTCGAACTGCGTGTCATCCACGTAGCCCACGATGGTGAAGCGGGGTTTTAGCTGGTACGGCTGGGACACCGCGGTGTAGAAATATCTCAGGGAGTGAGGGCCTGGGGGCCGGAAAAGGGGGACAGGACGGAGAAGAGAGGGGTCAGGACCGGGTGGGTCTGGGTGTGGGCGGGGGATTGGGGAAGGAGACGCCCTTCCCCGGGGTTCCGTGCCCCCCGCCAGGTCCCCTCGCTCCTCCTCCCCGCAGAGGACGGTCCCTCCGGACCCCGCACTCACCCGCCCAGGTCTGGGTCAGGGCCAGGGCCCCCCAGAGCAGCAGGAGAGTTGGGGGCCTCATGACCCGCATCTTCCGGGTGTAGGGAGTCCAGCAAACTTGCTAGGAGACTGTGTTGTGCAGTGACCCTGATTGGCTTCTGTCGCACCTGACACCCAATGGGAGTGAGAACTGGGGACGCGTCACGAGTATCCAGGAAGGAGGGCCCCACACAGGTTGCAAGAGGGAGAAGTGAAACTGCGGGGAGCTGGGGACTCCCCAACACTGAGTTTCCCGCTTCAGTCTCCGCCCTGGGGCTGGGCCCCTGAGACCAGGCCTGGGACCTGGGACATTGCCCTGACCCCTCCCCCTGCACGGAGAGCTCTGTCACTCCCTCTCCCTCAGTCCTGCCCAGGGGCTGTGTGAGAACCAGGGAGACTCCCCAGGCTGGGACCAGCCCTTTCCTCCCCTTCTCCTCTTGGAACCCCTCTCCCTGGAATGCACTCTGCTTCCTACCCGTTATCTCTGCCCTGGACTCTTCTAGAGGGAAACTCACCCTGGGTCCTTGATGCCAGAGAGTGAGCTCCCTGTGAGAGGAGGCGGAGGACAGGGTCTCCTCTGTAATCCTGGGGGAGTTGGGCCTGAAAAGACCAGTGAAGGGCAGGGGGACCACAGTCTTGGGAAGCCTGGACATCAGGAAGCTAATCTGTAAATGAGTGATTTCAGAGGCTTCATATGCAAAGTGTCTAAACAGCCCTGCAGCCAGAGTGACAAAGCTCCTCAACTCTCCTTCCCACACAGGAAGTGTGTGGCTGGGGCTGTTACCTTGTGAAGTGACCTGCATTCCCCAGCCCTGAGCTTGTCCCTGTGAGTCCCCCACACCCTCCCTACAGGAGCCCAGGGAGCATGTGTGACTGCATTTCAGCAGGAGCCTGTGCATCCTCTCAGTCGCTGGTGCTCAGTGGGTCACAGCGCCCTTCACCAGCGCTCCTGCCCTGCCATCCTTATGAATTACTCACATGGAAGCAGTGAGCACATTTCATCGGGACACATTATTTTTTTTAACTGATTAATATAAAGTGACAATTACTTTTTAGGCAGCCCCACAGAATGTATTAAGTAACAATGGCAAGGAACACGCTGCTAGTTCTGTAGATATATTAACTATAGATCTATAAAGCAGATTTAAATCTGAGAGTTCCACTGCTTTAGAATATCTACCTCCACTTCTTTTCCTCGCCCCTGCTTCTCCAGCCCTTCTCTGACTCTCATCCCTCAGGCCTCTTCACCCCTTTGTCTCTATCACCCTCCCACTCTGGACTGTGGCATTAGCAGCACCTCCTCACCTGCCACACAGGGACTATTCCCCCCACAGGGTCAGCAATCCTGCTAATGTGAGTCAGGTTGTGTCATTTCCTCTCTAAAAAATGCACCAGTGACTCAGTCTCATTCTGGGAAGCCTCTAACAAGTAAGACACACAAGCACAGGGGCTTTGGGCTGTTTAGGTCAAAGTTGTCTCCTAGCACATGAAGCTGCTTCTGGTACATAGTAGACATTAAATTAATTGTTGTTGAATGAATGAATGAATGTCAATTGTATTACATTTTTAAATGTATTACATAAAATCATAAAAAATACAAAAATGTTAGCAAAGATTTTAGTACATGTACATGTACTACTACTGTGCATATCAGTTCATAAATTTATTCTGGGGGAAAAATGCTGTGTGCTTCTCTGTGGCACAGTTGAGCCTGTGTATTATATAAATGCTGTCACATATAAACACAACTATATAAACATCACCACAGACTTGTGGCTCAAAACAACCCTCATTTATTTGCTAACATTACCTTAATGGTAAATGCAGGTGTGGTGTGGATGGGTTCTCTGATCAGTCACAAAGCTGTGCCCTCATCCTGAGCTCAGACCCTTGTCTAAGCTTATATACAGACTAGTAGCTGAGCTAGTAGCTTGCCAGTAGCTCACTGCCTGGCCCTCTTGTAGCACCCTCCCAGCCCCCCCTACCCCATGCCCCCCTCATAGCTTGCTGCCCTGCCCCCTCCTGTAGCTCTCCACTTGCCACTTGCAGCTAGCTGCCCCACCCTCCTGCTGATCCTTGATCCGGTGGTTATGATGTTGGTTGGTCGTTATGCTTCACCAGCAGGCATAACGACCATTTGCATATTACATCTTTATTACATAGGATTGTCAGCAGAATTCAGTTTCTTCAGTTGTGGGTCTGAGGTGCCTGTTTCCTTGACAACTGTCAGGGAGGAGGAGCCTGGGGAGGGCTGCTCCCAACACCTGGTGGCACCAGGAGTCTTTACAGTGTGGCCCTTTGTTTTTCAAAGCCCCCAGTGGGGAAGATGGCTCACATTGAACTCCTCTCACCCTTGGGATCTCTTTGCTCAGGAGGAACCCCAGTCAGCCCTCATCTGATTAGGACAGTACCACCCAGGGCAGTCTAAAGGTCAACTGATTTGAGATCTACTTCCATCTGCAAAATCCCTTCCCAGCAGCCCTAGGTTAGTGTTTGGTTGAATGACTGGGGAAGGTGAATAACCAGGTTGGTTACCGGAGACCATCATAGCACGACCTGTCCTTCCGTTAGTGTTTATTGGTCATGGTTGGAAAATGAAGTGCAAATAAATAGATTGTTGTCAATGGTAATAAAATGCATCCTGCCTATTAGCCATGGAAATTCTCCTCCTCCTCCTCCTTCTTCTTCTTCTTCTTCTTTTTTTTTTTTAATATATTTTATTGATTTTCCACAGAGAGGAAGGGAGAGAGACAGAGAGTTAGAAACATCGATGAGAGAGGAACATCGATCAGCTGCCTCCTGCACATCTCCCACTAGGGATGTGTGCGCAACCCAGGTACATGCCCCCGACCGGACTCGAACCCTGGACCCTTCAGTCCGCAGGTCGACGCTCTATCCACTGAGCCAAACCGGCTTCGGCCCTCCTCCTTCTTCTTAATCCTCCTCCTCCTCCTCCTCCTCCTCCTCCTCTTCCTCCTCCTCCTCCTCCTCCTCCTCTCCTCCTCCTCCTCCTCCTCCTCCTCCTCCTCCTCCTCCTCCTCTTCCTCCTCCTCCTTCTCCTCCTTCTCAGGCTCCCTCTCCCACTCTGTCCTGCTCCTTCTTCTTCTGCTTCTTCTTCTTTCCTAGCCATGTAAATTCTTACATCTTAAAAGGAAATTATATATTTATATATCTTATAATTATTTCCCAAATGAAAATTAAAGTGTAATCATTCATTCTCCCATTGGAATCTGTTTTACTCATGTATGGCAGCATAACAAATTACTTAACACTAAATATTGTTTCAGGATTTTGCAAGTCAATGCTTCTTTTACCAGATTGTTTTCTTCAATACTCTAAATTTCACTTTGGAAAGAGTGGTTAAATGAGACAGAGTAAGAAGGAACAATAATTTGTAAGTTGCTTTTAGAGAGACCTTTAGTAGTAATGTTGCCTACAGTAAGTGACAGCAAAGTTGAGAACACACAGTAGGTAGATCAAAGACTTTAAAGACTGGGCATCTCAAATACGGGATTCATGTTCGTGTTGAATTGGTGCCAACAAATAACAGTTGACACTCACAGCTGTAATCTCTATCCCATCCCCTAGTTGTAACCTCTATCCTGAGCCCTGTGCTTCTTATACTCTTGAGATTCTCTAAAGATTTTCAATAAGTATGTACTTATCTCCAAACCGAATGTTATTTAGTTTTGCCAGTTTTTAAATTTCCTGCACAGAGGACTGGTACTGCATGGACACTCTGAGACTCAGCATTACCTAAGACAGTCACCTCTCACCTGTGAGGCTGTGCTTACACTTTTACTGTTGACGTCTTATATATTATACTTATAGTGAAATTTTTCTATTTTCCTATTGATGAATATGTGGCTATTCCAGTTTTGCCATAACCATTAGTGTACATGTCTCCTGGGGCACAAGGCAGGAATTTCCCCAGAGCAGGTGGGCAGGGGTGGGAATGCTGGGCCCTGTGGGGCCTGTATGGTGACCAGACTCCATGACCCTCATGTGATTTCCAAAGTGCTCCTGGCACACTGTCATTTCTCATGTGGCCAGGGTGGGACAGTGTCAGAGGTTTCTCTTTGTCCTTCAGCACAATTACAGCCCTTACTCCACAGACAGGAACCCAATGTGAAGGTCACAGCAAGGGCCACCTGTACTGAAGCCGATTCTGTATGTGGAAAGTGGGACCGTAACCCTGGGACTCATCCATGGACCCAGCAGTCACACTGGGAGCTTGCACCTGTAAGCTCCGCTGTCATAAGGGCAATGGTGATGCTGTGAGAATCGGTGTCAATGCCAAGTCTAACCCCAGGCGCAATACTCAGAGTTCTGGCCATTTTTCTCCCTGGTGGAGAGTCACTGGAGTAAGGGCTGCATGTTTCCATGCAGAGGGGTTGAGAGGATTGTCCCAGCTCTTACCACGGCTTCCCAGGGGCCTTCCTCCTAGAGCAGGGGTGGGCAAACTTTTTGTGAGTGCGTGCCAAAAACCAGCAAAATCTCTGACTCAAAATTCTTCTGTGTGCTAACCCTAATTTTTTGAGAACATGTTACGCCTACTTGTTATCTCTTAAGGTGTACGTATGTGAAGAACCTTGAAGAAATAATAAAATTCATTCAAGCGACAAAAACACAGTATAAGATGATGAAAAATACATTTATTTTTAAATGTATACATGTACACTGATAGTCCGACAGAAAACTTTATGACTCCGTTTGATATTATCATTGGGACTTTTGCTGCTGCACCACTGATTACAGATTTTATAAGTACCGCACGCTAACCGATTGCACCACTGGAGCTCCAGCAAGATGACAGAGATTCTACATCAGGTTTATATTTTGTGACCTTCAGAGATATTCATGAGCTACTACTTTCATCCGTCAGGCTACTCCTATTACGAGACTTAATAAAATTCATCACTGAGAACAAAGATTCACAATTGTAAATGGAAGATTATAAGAGAGGGTTTCGCGTGCCAGCAAAAGTTACTGGTTTGCCAGGTTTGGCACACGTGCCAGGGGTTGCCCACCCCTGTCCTAGGGATTTGGACACTTCTTCAGTCAAAAGGTTCTCCAGCTGAACACTGGCTGAGGCCTGGGTACTCAGCAAGGGATCCTGGCTTTTTAT